CATGGATGGCCTTGATATCCCCGACGATCAATGGGACACACATTTTCGCTACTTGACCGAGTTGATCGGGCATCCAGGAGGGAAGCAGGGATCATTAGCCCTTACCGAGGAAGGGGGCTTGATCGATGCCACCAATAAGGACGACGCATCATTATTGCGGCTTGCTGTCACAAAACCGTCTTGTCGTGCAGTCCAGTTCTTACTGAGGCAGGGCGCTTATCTACGTGCCGGCGGCACACTCCGCGCCGTTCCGCCCCAGTCTGTTGTAAAGATGCTAGAGGATCCAGATGGGATCTCCACGGTGCTTCAGTTGGTTCGCGCAGGAATGACTGTAAACAACGCGTCACGCTACCATATGAAAATCCGCTCGCGGGTAGGTGGTTTCCGCGTTCTCTGCCTAGCGTCAACCTGGTGTCCTGACCATACGCGACAAAAGCCCAGCTGCTTCAAGCTAATTGGCGAACTTCGAAAGGTAATGTAACATTGCGTTTATATACAAGTGGGCCACGCCACTGATATCTGATCACGTCTGTCTAGTTATTGGAGATGGATCTGCCTTCCGTCCATAGCGCCTGTATCAATTTCCTATCAACATTTTACCCCCTCCTCGAGTGCTATCCTTCTGACTCGCCACTTCACGAATTGGAGATCGAGCCGATGAAGATGGAGAAATCTGAGCAAGGTGGCTTTTCGGACTGTTGCGAGGGCATATTTCTCGGGCGTCACAAGGTTGCAATGAAAGCACTACGTGCCCATGTTGTCGGCGGCGAGGTAGCAGCAAGGGTAAGATTAGTCGCTTGCTTCCCATCATGGGTTTATCGCTAAAGTCAATCCGGCGACAGCGCATGCAGAGGGAAGTGAACGTATGGAGGAAACTAAATCATCCGAACGTCTTGCCATTCATTGGGTGGTGCATCCTCGAATCCAAAGCGTATATGATCTCGCCGTGGATGGAAAATGGGGATGCGTTGACATACGTGAAAAAGAGACCCCAGGCAAATCGCCTACAGCTGGTGCGAGCATCGTCTCCTCTTACCGTCGCCGAGCCATCTTTAATCTTTCCCTTTGATATTTCATCCGGGCTCGCAGCTCGCACAGGTTGCAGAAGGGCTGGACTACCTCCACACTGGGCCCAAAAACCCTGTAATCCACGGTGATCTCAAAGCTGTTAGTATTATTTACTTCACTCTCGCGCGTCTCATAGAGCCATGCAGTGACCGGGGCTATACCGTTAATAACAGGCCAACGTCTTGATTTCAAGCGCCGGCGTTGCACGCATTGCTGATTTTGGACTATCGGAGCTCGTTGAGGGTGAGAAAGCCCCAAGATGCTCGACGGCATGGTATTGTGGTGGGAATCCAAGATGGCAAGCACCCGAGCTCCTGAACGCGTCGACAAACGAAGAAGCTCGGAGGACGAAGGAGACCGATTGCTTCGCGTATGGAAGGGTGATGCTTGAGGTGAGCCTTCGTACTTCTTTCCCGCTCGAAACCCTGGGATATTGTCATTTCATGAGTTTTTACTAACCCGCCGGTTATTATACTTTGTCGCAGATATTCACGGGACAGGTCCCGTTCTTCTATCTCTCAACCAACACACTCTCAATATTCAACATGGTTCGGAACGGCCAGTTCCCTGACCGCCCGCTGGGTAAGGATATTGTTGCGAAGGGATTGGATGACAGGGTGTGGGAGCTGATGAAGACCTGCTGGAGCATGGATCCCACACAGAGGCTGAGTGCGGCTGAAATTCTCAAGCGTTTGGAGGACGCTCTTCGACGCCATTGCGACGATGACAGCAACTCCGAGGGCTCTGCGAATCCCAGGCCAGAGAAACGCGCCAGAGTCGTTGTGAAAGTTGAGGAAGTGGACGCCTAGATTCAATTTCTTTCACCGATCGCTATTCCACATTTCTCATCACCTTTTGTTCATTCCTTAGCGGGATTTGTGGGAATGTCAAATCTTCGTAGCTACTGCTTCACCCGTGAACCTCGTATCGTGTCATCAGTCTCTACCTTGGATGTCTACTTCTATAAAGATTTCAGACACGGCGCATCACCCATGTCATGTGTACAGTAATACTTAAAAACACATATTGGGGGTGCGCAATCCCAAGTAAACGCTGTGCACGAGGTTTGCTTCCGAAAGGTCATTCCCATACGTCTGATTTGCATGAAAAAGTGGCGAATGGAGTTGGGGCTTCGCACAAGGCACTAGGGCGCCAAAAAAATGTCGGAATAATCCCGAAAACATAAATTAATTTGATCCGTGGGGAAGCAGACGCGAAATTTGCAAAAATTTTGACAGCCAAAATCTGTCTGGTTATCTTGTTAAGTAACCAAACACAGTATTAGCCAGATGTCCCTACAGATTGAGGCATCTCTTTCTCTCGAGGCTATCTCACGCATAAAAATCATAAAAAGTATCGTATTGCGGAGCGCAACTCCCCTGCACCGAGAGACGTTGATACATGTGCGAATCGCTAATTTGAGGTAAATCGGCTTATATAATCAGTGCGAACGGTGCGCGCGCCAGCATAGAATAATGATTATATCTCGACAACACTCCATTTTTTTATTCCCAATATCCAGTATATATCCAGCCCTGCTATGCGAAGCTCATCTAAGTTCGGCTGCCCTGCTATGGCCCGCTCGAAAAGATTTATTGTGGAATCTCATGGATTAGCCATCTTTACATGCCGATATATACTCTTCATTTTTGTATCCGGCTTATGTCATATATGTCCAGCGATGCACAGGGTCCACTAGTGGATTGCGCACCTCCACACATATTCAGTGGCGATACCTATTCCGCTCTATAATCAAGCAACTGCCTCTCCCTGCTGAGCGAATATCAGGAGCCAATCTCGATCTCTCGGAGTTTAATTGCTTGCATCCGACCGTGGGGGATCGTCACAAGGCCGATGATAATGTTACTTGAGTCTACGTCTCCGTAGTGTCTACAGCCAAAAGAGATCACTCGGTCCTCCTCCCAGTACAACTTGCAATGCCTGTCACGTTCAAAGCTGCTTCGCATTTGGCAGAGGTTATCGGCGCGCACGACGACATCGCCGCTGATGCCCCGGGCTTCTTGGCGGCTGCATGCTACGAGCAAGCAAAGCAGTGTGGCGAGTTCTTACAATCTTCACTTGAGGGTCTCGACCTGTCTTCCTTGCAAGCATCCAAGCATGGATTTGTTGGTGCAGCCATTCATGCATACAACGAGCATCATAATCTCAGCATCCGACCTGATGATGTGTGGATCGCGATACTGTCCCAATTCAATTTCTAGTTAGTTTCCTCTTTTTATTTGCGCTGTTTTCCGTTAATGTCGTTTATTGTGCGTCGGTTTTTAAAGTGTCAACGCTCACGCCGAAGAGCTGCGCGATCGTTTCGTCCCTCATGAAGGCAAAAAGCCATTGGTGGTTCATGGGAGTGGAACACGCCACACCGCAGACTACGCGGGTCTGTCCCAGCAGATGGCCGACCTCATCCATGAAAATGTGTGTGGATATTGTTCGCTTATGATATTTTAGCCCTCTCAACCATCTTGCGATATTTGCCAGCTTGTAGACAAAAGTCTGCACGAATGGATCCTCCCCGATTTCACAACAACGACACCAAAAGACAAGACCATCTGCGCCGTTACCATGATGGCCACACTTAAAAAGCACGCATTTTCCCTTAGCCACCTCGTCGAGCTACTACTAACATTTTTTGTCTATTTTGCCTGCCCAAAGTTATTTCACTCAGATATTCGGCCTGCGATGTGGAATCTCTTCGGTGAAACTTGAAGGCGAAAAATCCGATTGGGAATCTATCCTTGCACGTCTCGACAAAATCGATGAATTTGGAGTCGAGCCCATCGAATTTGCGTCTATGCTTCGCCCTATCATACAACGTTTCATATCCGCCTTCGACGGCGAACCCGACGTAGACTTCTGGAGTAAAATTGCACACTACTCGGGAGGTGGATCAGGCCCGACGTACTTATCTGGATGGATCACAGCGTTTTGCACATGGACTCATGAAGGCAAACGTGTTGAACGCTCCGTCGGCAAAGTGCGCCGCTTGGGTCATGTGCGTTTAACTCACTGCACTACACTGAATGGTCGCCTGATTCCCACTTTCTGACTACAGGACGACGAAGATGCCTCGTTCTCCCTCGGTGACATTTCTTATTCCAGGATCAACACCCAACGCATCCCACCTGGATATTGTGAAGTGGACGTTGTTTTGGATGAAAATGGTAATATGTTTGACTGTTTGATGGTTGCCGGGCACGTCGCCATGGAGAATGTCTCTTCCGAGAGTGGCCGTAGAGATACTCTCCGGCCTTCTCCGCACTGGTTTATCTTCGTCAAAGGCGAGAACCCAAACCTCGCGGCCGCAGAAAACTCGCGAAGGCTAGCGCGATATCGATCCAAGGGCACCATGATCTAATCATCACAATCGGCCAATTTCTTCTGTTGGTCGAGCTTGTAGTCACGTAGGAATTAGTCATCAGAGTTCAATATCCGCTACGTGAGCTAGGCAATACCTCCAGTGCGATACCAATATATAGATTGTTGGGGCTCTAGGTTTATCTACTACTTAGCGCGAGCGGGATACGACTCGGCTGCTAATAGCAATACGAAATGTATCCTCGATACGTAGTATGAGTCCTTTCAAATACATTGTCAAGGTAACATATGACAAAGCAAGTCCATCATCACCCTCCACGGGATCTCCTGGCAGCTTGGTGCTGGACACGAAAGGGAAAGCGCCCCTTCCTGACGCCCAAGTATCTTCTTTGGTTGCAGCCATCTGAATATTCAGGAGCCCTGTCGCCGCTCGCCCTGCCGACGTGAAAGCCATTATTCTGACTTGTTATGTTCTAAAGTGGCCTATCAGTGGCTCATGATATTAAACGCCGCGTTCCACTTATTCACCCTTCGCCCGCCAAACTGGCCGCAAGCATCTAGCTCAATTATATCAATATAAGCCACTCTGCCGCCACATCGGGCATATGGCTCAGTTGGTAGAGCGCCCGCTTAGCATGCGGGAGGTCTTGGGTTCGAATCCCAATTTGTCCATTCACCACTTTTTGCTTTTTGCTGATGTGAATACGTTTCGGAAGCGCCACGCGCGACTCGCCGCCCCGTCTTCAATATTTGATGCTAGGGCGGAGAGATGCTGCGTATCTTTTAACCAAAATGTATTGGAATTACAAGAATGATCACCGCACGATCCAAGCGAAGGCTGCTTGCTGCATGGAATACCTTTTGAAGTCCATGTGAGGCTGTCATACGATGCGTGTGCGCTACGTGTGCTGGCGTTGAGTATGAGATTATGTAATTACGCTTAAGGGCTTTGCCCTTCGCGAGATCGTCGATCATCAACTCAACATCAACGTGGACGTCCACTGCTAATCAGCACCGTGACCAATGTCTACGGTATGGTATACCCAAATGCGCGTGATATTCATTTACTGACTTGATGGCAGTCCCGTATTCCCGAAACGTATATTCCTTACGCTGAACGCCCCGATTGGGCTGATGTTACTCCAATTCCTCAACACGACAGCCTCGATCCACTCGTACCCATTCATTACACGCCAGAATGTAAGTCTTGACATTGGACCTTTACTAGGTATCTCTTACCATGTTGTTGCAGACAAGGATGCCACCGATTACTTTCGAGGGGTCGTTCAGGCGGGAGAGCGGAGCGAACGAGTGCTTGATCTGACCGAGTACATCATCTCACTCAATCCTTCCCATTATTCCGTCTGGTTTGCCACAATCCCCTTCTCTTCTTTGTCCGCTTTTTTGTCTTATGGCGTTTTCGTAGGCAATATCGCTATAGCACATTAATTGCTCTCAAATCCGATCTCGCTGCCGAGCTCAAGCTTATGAACACCATCGCCGCGGAAAACCTGAAGTCGTACCAGGTGTGGCATCATCGTCGGCTGCTCCTTACCCAACTCCGTTCAGCCGAGGGAGAGCTTGACTTTATCGCCGCCGCGCTCGAAGAGGACAAGAAGAACTACCACACGTGGGCGTACAGACAATGGGTTCTCGCAGAATTCAACGATGACGAGATGTGGGCAGGGGAGCTTGGCCTTATCGAGAAGTTGTTGGATAAGGATGTGAGGAACAACTCGGCGTGGAGTCATCGGTTCTTCATCGTCTGGGATTCAGGCATCAGGAAAGGAGAGGAAGACAGAGAGACCGTCACGAGGAGAGAACTTGCGTACGCTCTGCTTGGAATTTCTGTAATATCTAAATTGGGATTCCTTACTTCTGCCTTTAGCTACACCAAGGAAATGATTTCTCTCGCACCAAATAATGCATCTGCTTGGAACTATCTCCGCGGGTTTGTCGTTCGGTACTGGTCTCGCTCTCCTAGTTTTTCTAACGATTGCGTTTCAATTAGCGTATTGGAACGTACTGCGACGCCACTTTCATCTCTTGAGGCATTCGTCGCGCCATATGCCCGCGCCCATTCGCATATCTCTGGCTTCATCACACCTGCTAGCAACGAAACAGAAGGTGTTTTCATCGATCTTGAAAACCCCCTTCCTTCAGAGAGCGCCTCCCTGCCTTGTCCCCTTGCGATCGAATTTCTTGCAGATATCTGGGAAGAGAAGGGCGGGGAGGAAGGTGCAAAGAAGGCTTCAGAGGTGAGTACGTACCGGGTTACTGCTTCGTCTCAAATTCAATCGTCTCCTTGTCCAGTACTTTGCAAGTCTGGCGGAAAAATACGACCCGATGCGAAAAAGGTTAGCAGATTTTCTACTTCTAGGCATGCCGTAAGCTCATGATCACGACCTGGATGCTGTAGATATTGGGAATTCCGCCAGAAGGAAGCGCAAGCGCCTCACCCTGTGACTGTTTCTGCGTGATCCAAACGTCCGGCTTGGCATTTGAGACCTCGTTTGTTGTATATTTAGTTTTTTTTTTTGAAAGCCGATCTACGCTATAACCGAAAAAAGTATACATTTATCGAAGTGGCGCCCCAAAGGTGATCCAGAAAAACCCCCATTTTTAACACAGCTTCGCCCTCCCTACACTGGGATCATGATCGCTTGCGCCCCCGTCCACATCCCAAGTATTGACATGGATATGCTCCGCCTCGATCTTCGGCACAAGAGAAGGGCTGATGAAGATATGATCGAGCTGCTCAGAGCACATGTCGAAGTTGTACGTATACCGCTCGACAGGCGGGATGCCCGCAGCCTCGTCAATGTCGTGCATGATCGCCAACAACGGGTCGTATACGGCGGAGACGGGGATGAACTCGTTGAAGTCGCCCGCGACGATGATCTTGGCGTTTGGTTCGACTGCGAAGATCGACGAGAGGAAGTCCTGTGCAGATTATCGCATCACCGTGAGCTTAAGTCAAAAAAATAGTCTCAGAGGAGAGATAGTAAATGGAAGCATGGACGCACAGTCAAGACCTGAACCTGCGCCGTGCGAGCCGCGATAGCGCCATTCACAGGAGGCCGCGCATCGCCATGCAAACTCGAGCTCCCACCCTTGCTCGAGAAATGGACATTGACCGTCCACAGCTTCTGCCCCCCGGTCGTCTGCCACACCGCCGCGATGGGCTTCCTGCTCGACTTCCACGCCGCGTTCGTGGGATCGATCAGGCCCGGGTTGTACGTCAGCCCGAGCCCGTCGGCGCTCACAGCCGTGGCGTCCCTGTACGTGCCCGCGTTCGGGCGGAAGAGGGAGAGGCGTGTCGAGTTGTACAGGTACACCGGCCGGATGTTGCCCCCGATCTGCCCACCGTCGAGGTTCCCCGGCGCAGGGTCGATGTTAACAAAGTCATACGCCTGTGCGCCGGGGCCCGCGCTGGCCTTGATGCTGTTCACGAGCGTCTGGAGCGTGACGTTCGCGGCAGTGGTCCCGTCATCGGTCGCGCCCGAGTTGTCCTGGATCTCCTGCACGAAGATGATGTCTGGTGTGCGAAGGAAATTGGCAATTTGACCGGCGACGACGGGGAGGTGGGCGGACTTGGGGGACATGTTCTCAACGTTGTAGTCGCCGAACGTGAGCGTGCAGCGGTCTGCGCCTGAGGTGAGCGTCGTCGGGGGTGGTGGGTAGGGTTGGGAGGAGACGACTTTGACGCCGGTGAGGGGGAGGATGTAGTAGAACCCGAACGTGTACTGGACTATGCCGACGATGTCGGTGAGCTTGTCGCCCAGCTTTGCTTTGGCATTTTTGGTCCCGTCGAGCGGTGTGCCGATAATGATGGCTTCAGGATTTACATCGGGAATATTGTTCGAATCTATTGAAATTCTTTAGACTTCCAGCTCAAAGTGATAAGGTTGTGGATCGTAGCCTACCAGCAGTGATAGTCAATCCGCCCCTGGCATTCGTTCCCGTTTTCTTCCAATCCCCAGTAACCCATACGTCATTGTAGGTATTGGACTTGTCTGCCGCAATTGGGTTGGTTACTTTAACCAGCACGCCCGACAAACTCTCCCAAAAGTCCAAGCCGTATAATGCGGGCTGCAAAACTGGATTCGCCACTTCGAGGAGTGTCTGGTTATTCGGAACGGCAAATATGCCGCCTTTATCGAGCGAGGTGTACAGCTCCGTCGGTGGGGAGCGGTCGACACCTAGTAGGAGTGGCTTTACTGGGTTTCCAGACGACACGACGACGACATTTTTGGGGCTGGTAAGCTCGGCGAGGAAAAGATAGTCGGCGGAGGAGCGGTACTCCTGGACAATGCCGGAAAGTGTGATTACATCTCCGGTAGTAACGCTTGCAATCGAGTTGGATCCATAGACGTAGAGACCATCGCTTGTCCGCTCGTCTGTATCCGGGACGACGGATGCGAGCCAGAATCCGGACGGACCTTTGGCAGTGACAAGGCCTGTGACGTTTACAGATTGGCCGTTGTAAGGGGAGACAAAACGGGTTCCCTGGATGTCGTATACATTCAGCAGGTTTAAAGGAGCGCAGAAAGCGACCTGGATGGCGGAAAATGTGAACGCAGACAGGGGGAGCCGCATATTGGATCCAAGAGTGCCGGGGAAGAAAATCTTGAAGGGAGGAAGTGCGCCTGGTTAAATAACACGGGGATGGCGACATCCTTCAAGGTGCAAAGATGCTGCGTCGACGAAACTTCGTCGGTAAACGGATCAAGGCATCCTTCATTTGGGGCCTTGGCTACCTAAATGTGCGCTTCGTATATTTGAAAGCAGGTTCTTTTCGCCAGTAAGCCCAGTCTCCACCAATGATCTGAGGTACCTTGAAACATTCATAAGCGAAGCATCTTGCCACTTCCATCGACTTCATACTTCACGAGTGCCTGGAGAAGATTTTACGACAAGAACCGACGTCAGTCGTTGGTTTATTTTTGCAGTAGATGTCACGGATCGGAGAAACTCGGAAATCGCTCGTGAGTTCCATCCATTTGGGCCTCACGCCAACGTCCTTGGCGCTTCGTATAGGCGCGAGAAGATCGAACGAACTCGTAGACCGGAAGCGAGTAGAGTTGGACCACCCGTACATAGAGCTCTTTCAGCGCCAGAACTTCGAGGGAAGTCTCCCATGCTGTCACTCAGAAAAGAGCAGATTTACGACATGGTAGAGAGCGATCGTATGAACTCCGCGAATCCGCGTACGATCCCGGTCGCGCCTTCGAAAGTTTGATGAGATAAGTAAGCCCTACCCCCGATAGATTTCGTGCGTATATCCCAGGTTTCTTTCGTGAAGGCAAAGCGATGTGTGCAGCCGACACCGCACGCGGAGTGATCAAATCTGAGCCAAACTCGACGCGAGAAAGAGCACAGCGTGGTGGTTCACCGTGACCTATTCGGGCGGCATGGCCCGACAGCTTAGGGGCTTACATCATCGTGTATAGCTTACACAGCCTCCCGTCACATAGCCATAAAATTAACTATATAATTTGGCACCTTTGTCATCTCCGTGATGCGGACCAACACCACACCCTGCAGCAAGTCTCCGGCATTAATACCACTAGTGGTAGGGCCCCCTCCTGGGCCGCCCCGGTACAAAAGAACTTGGTGCTTTTGAAAGGACGCAAGCTGAAGAGCTAGGACGTGTTGGACTGGAATTTCAA